CAGTAAGTTGCTAACTCAGGAGCCAGGAAAGCTAGAAAGCTGAAATTTTAAGGGGGTGTTTCCTGATAGTTCTGGCGATCAGTATTAATTTGTCTAGCTAGAAGCATTTGCCGGAAAAACCGGTACCGGTAGCGCAAAAACTGCAGGGAACTATGCAAAAAGTGCATCTTCGCACGGGCAGTCTGTGCATTGGCCAATTATTTTGTATTATGACGATCCCAGTGTGCCTGTCAGCTTCAAATTGGCAACCAAGCAAGCTCAGGCGCCAAAATTTTGCCAGTGGATACCCGGCCAAGTGCCGTGCCAGTACCGTGGTACCAGTCCTTACGCACATCTGGGCCCCGTTTGCGAGCGCGTGAAATTTTTGGCGAGAGGGTCGCTAACTCGAGAATCAGAAAATCTAAAAAGCTGAAATTCTGAGGTTATGTTCACCATCCACGCAGAACTCAAAGATTTCGAATTCAGCCGTTGGGCGTTCGTGATCCCACGTGCGGCCTCGTCAAAGTTTTTGGCGAGAAAACTGCTAACCCGACGACCAGACAGAAAGCTGAAATTCCCCCAACCCCCATCTACATGCAACCCCTCCCTCTGTCCCCTCCCGCAACACGCGACCTAATAGGCAAGCGCCGGGTATCATACCCAGCACAAGTGGCAAAGTGTCAAGCGGCATCGGCCAAACTTGCCGCGAAATACCGTCAGCAGAGATGAAGAGTAACAGTTGAGCTGAGCCGATTTTTAGTAGCTGCCCAGCAAATCTCCATTATGCGTTTCAGCATTTACATAACTGGAAAAAAGAAAACGCAAAAATCTACTGTAAAGTATTGCAGTTTGCTTCCTCCACTGCCTCAAAATTCAGTGTTCCCTCAGGAATTAGCATCGAGCGCAGCAGAGTTTATGAAAGTGAGTCTTTTGTGTTCTCGCAAGATTTTACGTATGACATATTTCTGGATGATCCGATGAGCATATTTCATTAGACGACACGATACTTTACACAGTGGCAGCAGTGTTGTAGGTTGAAGGTGATTATTATCATTCACTGGCCCATCACCGGCGTATAAATTTCCTTGTTTCCCATGCCGACTGCCAGTTGCGCTTCAGGCGAATTATTTTGACAAACGTGTTTCACTCTCGCCAACATCATCCTTTCAGAACTCTATTATTTATTGCAATGTGCTTGCTTTAAATGCGTTTGCTTTCTCTTTCAGAGCAACTCCTGCCTGCTGTGACGCTGTTTCTTTTTCGGAGAGCGTAAGCCAATTTATTGATTGTTCCAGAAAATTTGTAATATTGTAATATCTTCGTATGCTCTGTTGATTATTATATTTTCAACTTACAAATTAATAGGTCTTGATTACTAAAGTGTAAATTTGGCATCTAAAAAACGATGTCCAATGTGCTGCTTTGAATGTGTCTGAATTGCATCTCCCCGCCTTCAAAATTTTACCAACAGTATTCGCTTCTGATCTCCAAAAAATTGTCATTAAGCCGCTGCTTAACTGAGTTCTAATATTTGTTGAAATGAATCAATCTTTTGTGAGTTTTTTTGCAGCAGTAGTCTGTCCGTCCGTCGCTCTTTATACCTTATTCGCTTAATTCCTTCGACGACCTAGAATTTACTTCGGTGGATTGTCTCTTAAAAGCAACATATTTGTGCTCTTAAATTGTGCCAGAACAACCCACTAGTCACATTCTGCGATGTGCCACAAGTTTGACGTTTCTGTGCACATCTTCAAAATATGATTCATTGAGGGTTTTGGGTGTGTTGGCTTTGTACTCCTAACTTCGCAGCTTTACTGTGATGCTGAAAAACTTCGCGGGACATTAGCATGAGCAGCGTATTCAACCGACACCATATTTATCCTAATTAATGTCAAGAGGCTGTGTAATGCAGAAATAAACCAGTTTGGGTAATGAACATAGTACGACTGCAGTCCGTTCGAAACAATTTGAATATTTTTTATTAACTTTCTGTGTGCTGTTTCAAAAAATTCCTTATTTTGTGCTTGATTTTGATATTGTGGGATACCGTGTAACGTAACATAGGTGTTGCGCCTGAAATGGACATGATATGACGATTTTTTTCGAGAGAATTTGGGAATAATCGAAAAATCACGAGGAATTTTAAAAAGCTTGTAATAATCGACTGAATTTTTAAAAATTGACATTTTGCCAATAACTCACTTAGTGGGCGAAGAAAAGTTATTTAAGTCATTTTAAATTTACTAGATCGTAGTTAGCGTTCAGTGAACTCTGTTCCGGCATCTTACTTTGCGTCACACACGCTTGAGTAATGTGAAGGAACGTGAAAACAACTGTTAACAAATAAATAATTGTCAGAGCTTAAAGGCTTGCGTTAGTGCATTACATGTAATCAAAGCAGATACCGCAGTTGAAATATTGTATCTTCCAGTACTTGAAGGTGTGGTGGATGACTTAAGTCCAACTATGCCACGTTCTGAGCATTGATCTTAGAGGTAAATTTGGGTTGCTTTTTTACTCTGAAACGAGTTCAGTTAATCTGCGGTTTTACTGCTCTGCAAATGTAGATTACCAAAAAGATAACTGTGACGCGGTGCGGTCTCACCTACTGATCATATCAGTGCAACCATCTGCTGCGCATCCTCCCAAATGATTGCGAGATGCGCAGCCTTTGCCTCAACAGTTCTATTTAGCATTTATTTTATAATGATTGAGTAAATCATTTATTTAATATTGCAAATGTAATTAATGAAACTGTTTGGTAGGTAGCTAAAAAACAGATCAGCCTTGCACAAAATGAGAAATGCGTACTTTTTCAGTGCACTTTCTTTCCGTCGACCACGACACTACCAATTTGTTTTCTTGGTGAATTAAGCGCACAGTGAACTAAAGATGAATTTGCCCGATCGAGTTTTTAAATGCAATAAAACAGTACTCACTTATGAAATCCAGGACGGGGCTTTTTGTAGACTACCCAACTCCTCATGTTGATGCCCACTAGTAAACAGGGACGGCAGTTATTAACTGTTTTATTTCTTCCGATAATATCATCTGTGTATGTGTATTTTTGTATTCAGAAAGCAAGTGAACTCTGTCACTCACTTTTAACGCAGCAGTCAAAAAAGCTGGGCGGCTGAAATTTTCCCTATTTTCCAAATGCTTCCAGTCTTTTTAAAAGGCCAACTTTTAGCTGTAAAAACGGAAAAGCTTTGCTCTGCACAAACAGTTCCGGTGCCAAATTATCTGTTACAATTAGTTATGCGCATTTTTGCTTTATTTTTTCTTTCTTTTTTTCAGTGATAACGTGTATGTGGAATAGAAAATTGGAGTTTTCTGAAAACAGTTCCGCGGTTACGTTTTCTGTGTGCAATAAAAAAAGCCATTGCTTTCAGAATTCGAAAATGGTGATTTGTGGGCCAATAATAAAACTGGCAAATGGCAAGGAGATGCCACAAGTAGGGCTCGGCACATGGCTAGTATGTTCACTTTTTGTTCGCTTGCTTCTTCTGGCCACTGCGCTTGGCAGCAAATGCCAGAATTTTAAGCATGTTCCTGACAACAAAAACGCGCAAACGTGCGACAGTGCGCGATGCGGTTGCCATTCAGTCTGCTTAGGCATTCATTTCGATATAGTTCAGAATATACCTTTCGTAGCTTGTTCAGGTCTTGAATGTGGAAAGGAAAAGGATGGTGCCAGTCAAATCTAAAAAATAATTACGACATATACCCTATGTGCCACCAGTTTTACAAGCAAAAAACCTTTCAAATCTGTTGCATTTTAACTCAACTGGTTGAACCTGAGAAAAGTTCTGAATTTATTGCCATTTGATTATGTTCATTTTTTGACCGAACAAGTATTTTGTAACAATTGTTTTATTTCTGTGTTACCAAGGCAGAGACACGCGATGGTGCTAGTTAGGCGAGAGCGCGACTGCGGCAAAATAGGACCATCTTCCTCCAACAAATGCACTCGTTTTCTGCTTAGCAAGCTTTCTCAAAATTCTTGTAATTTTAAGTCAAGCTTTTGATAAAAAATGCTCATGAAAAAATTATTTACATTTGTCCAAGCAATATTTTTAGAACTCTTTTCAAAATCCTAGCCTTACCATTTTGGGGTTTGCTGGAGAACTCTACCAAACAAGCCACTGCAGCGTTTTTTTTACTGACATGATTATGTGTTGCAGTCCAAGCCAGGTGAAGTAGGTCCGGCAGTTGGCTGGGCTTTGCAGCACGGCTACAGACTCATTGATACGGCAGCTTGTTATAATAATGAGGAAGAAATTGGTAAAACCCTCCGCAAATTCTTCGATAATGGAAAGATCAAACGCGAGGACGTGTTCATCACAAGCAAAGTAAATCTTCATGCATCATTTATTGAGTGTTTAAAAGCGCAGGGCAAACTGCGACTGCAACTCAAGTGTACAGGTATCTTGAAGTAAGAAGCTGTGAACGAGACAGGAAGTGAGAAGATCTGGGGGTGAAAAACGCGTTCCTCACCACGCTGCAAATGTTGCATTCTCTTTCCACGCGATTCTGTGCGTTTATGCAAAAAACAAAAAAACATATTGAGGAGAGGTCGTCGGTGTGCAAGTGTATGTGTGAGCACGACATATTTGCAGCGAAGAAGCAATTTGCGGAACCAGGCAGACTTCGGAGCTGAAATTTTACGAGGATGTTTGCTAGCCATATGCGATCTAAATTCTTTAAACTCACCTTGCGGCACATTCATTAAGAGCAAGTAAAACTTCAGTTTTGAGAAATCTTGGCACGGATTTAACTGTGCTACTAGGCTGAGCAGAAACCCACAGTTTTATGAGAATGCTGAATATCCACGTGCGCGTCTGTAAGCTTAAAATGAATTCTTTTTACGCTTATGCTTCGGGTTTCAAATGCTCAGATTGTACAGTTCTCAGGAGAGCTGTACACTACAGTTGGACTGTTGCGGCTTTTCTATCTATACCACTGAAAAGACACAAAGCAGTTCGAGCTAATTGTAAACTCCACAAAGCCTTATTCGGTTTTTTTACTAGTCACTCATCAGTTATCAAACTGGGATTTTGAGGGCTAGATAAGAAATATGCCTCAAGCAGACGAGGGAGGTAAAGAATATCATTCTAGCTGTGGTGCACCCACAACCGAACAGAGGAAGTAGAAGAACAGCTGCGTGACTCCCTCCGAAAACTGCAGCTGGATTACGTGGACCTCTATTTGGTACATATGCCTGTTTGTTTCAATGTAAGTTGAGTTTCCGTCCTTTTTTATTTTTCAGTTCTACCTCCTCTATTTGAAGTTTTAGGTGCTTCCAGGTGAATTGAAAGTAAGCAGCGGGTTTTCCCTTTCTGGAGTTTCATATTTAGAATAAAATGAGGTTTGTTAGTATATTGCTTCAAAATTGACAAAAATGCTTGCACCAGTTTCCAGTCAATGAATTTTTGGTAGAACCATTGCGTTTTGTACGAAATAAAACTTTTAATTTATGAGAAAAGTATAATTTTAGCATGATATGTCGGAGCACGATCACTCAGTAAAGGTCGAAGATACATGGAAAGTAAGCTTTACAGCTAATTGTAATGTTCACGTGTGCATACTCGGTTCCATTTCACTCACTCTTCCTATTAATGAAGGTCTCGATGTTGATAGATACAAAAATATGTCCGGATTCCTTCTTGGAATTAACGTAACGATAGCAGGGGAGAGCGACGGGAAGGGAGGGGCGGTAAAAACTAGAGCTTTTCCTTTTTGGGAGTACACACAAATTGTTAGGGGCTTTTTAATAATTATATAACCCATTAATAATTTTTTCTACAAAGATTATGGTATGTCAGAGGACCAAATAAAGGATAAATTCTCCGTTTGTTTCGTTGGAAAAACCCGTCAAAATCTCAAAAAATTACAAGTTCCTTTACAAGTTTTTGTTTCATATTTTAGTGACGTGACGATTTTAATACAAGCAGCAGGCTATACTGGAAATTCCTTACACTTGCCATTGCATGCACAATGTCACGACACCTCAGGCGAGACCATTTCGTTACAAAAAAAAAAAGTCACCTGTTTCCGTAAAGTTTGTCGATGTAACCTTTTCTAGAGCTTGACCTAATTTATTAATTCATTACTGTGATACAGGGGATGGAAAATGTGTACGAGAAGGGGCTTACAAAAGCAATTGGAGTATCAAATTTCAGCATCGATCAAATTGAACGCATTCAGAAAATAGCCACCACAATGATTCACAATGTGCAGGTTATTAATTCTGAGATTTTTTTAACAGTTGGTTTTCTAGGTTTTGTTTTACTGCCTGCTCTAAGAAAATCAGACTCGACCATATTGACTGTTTTAGTTTTTGAATGTTTATTACTATAAGAATTACTTGAAGGTGGAGTGTCATCTATATTTCCCGCAGTTTAAGCTGCACGACGTCTGCAAACATCACAATATATCACTGACTGCTTACGCGCCAATAGGCTCTCCCGGAAGAAAGAATTTCGTGCCACCACAAAAGGGAAAGTTAGTCTTTTCATTACAGTCATTAGCGGTACTGGAAAAGTCAGGAGAAGGGCCGTGGAGCGCAAACAGGCAAAAGAGTTTTCAAATGTGTCACATTTCACACTGCATCCTTGGGGTGACGCTTGGCCAGGAAAACCATTGGCAAAATTTTAGCGCCGGCGCTTGCTAGGTTGCCGAGTTGAAACACCCGGACAGACAGACAGACACACATACACACATGTACGTATGCAAACACGCGCATACACACATATGCATACATGCAAATGCAAACACACACACACATATACAAAGTAATTCGCCACAATATGCGTTTTTGCATTTGCATCTGTGCAAAACCCCATGAAAAGTGTTTATTGATTTATTCTGCAGTGCAAGAAGTACCACCTCGTTGAAAAAAGCTTGGCTATATTGTCGATATGTTTCTTTGCCTTACAGCGAAGTAAAGTGGGAGCCAGCACCGGATCCAATGAAGGACGAAGTGGTGCAAAAATTGTGTGCTAAATATCACAAGAGCAGCGCCCAGATAATGCTGCGTTATTTACTACAGCGTAATATTGCAATCATACCGAAAAGTATCAAGGAAGATAGAATAAAAGAAAATTTCGAGGTTATTTGTTTATTATTTCGCAAAAACGCAGGCATTTGCTCGAACTAATCCTTGATTTTTAATGACAGCAGCAAAAAATAACAAAAGAGGAAGTCTGTTTAATTTTTTTTTGATATGTCCTGGATCAAATACTGGCACAATTATGATATTTTTTCATAAAAAATAGTCATATATATGCATATATACAAATGAATCATTTTTTAATTAAGAAATTGAGGACGTAATTTTACTGGCATTTCCAAATTTAAAAAGAAAAATTTTTATTTTTGCTGTATAGTGATTTAAGATTCGAGGCTCTAATTTAGGCCATATAACCGCAAAATTCTGGAGTCTTAGTAATTGTGGTTTAAAATCGGATCCAAGAGCAATTCGTTTTTGCTGTGCAGTGCTATTGCAGCTGCTACAGCCAGTAAAAGCGCATATTGTCGAAAGATCGTCTACGCGTGTTTTCGGAAGCGACTGCACGTTGTCGCCCACTTTCATCTCAGCAACCAGGAAAGTTGGAAGGCTGAAATTTTGGATATATGTTCATACCCCGTGTGTCATCCTTTCGCTTTAAAATTTTTGCTCATACGCGCTTAGAAGTCGCGTATGGACTCCCGAAAAAAATATGCATATTTCTTTGGCTGGAAACGACTTGCGAACTAGGGGAGATAGAAAGCAGAAGCTTTGCTGTGATTTCTGTGTGTGTGTGTGCTAGCTAAGAATTTCAAATTCAGCTGTAGCGCACGCTTGCGCAGAGCATACGATCATGTCAAAACTTGCAACTTGCTACTATGCTAACTCGAAAACTTGCCGGGAAACATAGCTGAAATTTTGTTAGCATGTTTATCGCCCATATGTGAAATCGTATACCTAAACTGAGTTTCGAATTGTACTTGCGCCACGACTTAAGGCACTTCAAAGATATATGTAGCGAAGTGAATATTTTGCTTACCGGATAAGGTGCATCGCAGAAACATCGCTGGAATAATCTGCTTTCATACGCGATCTCAATTATAATCGGAAGTGAAATTCCTTGCAGGTGGGCATGAAAAATACTCAACTTTACTGATAAATCAGAAACAAGTGCATTTTGCAGCAAACGGCCGCTCTAGCAGCATTTTCACTTTTCAGTGAACTGTAAATTTGCAATTTTTCGAAGAGCGAGTATTTACCAGAAAAATGACTGGGCTTTATATAAAAAAACTACGTGAGGGTCCATGCGGCCCTATAATGCAACACCTCCATCCCAACCGGTACTCTTTCTCCTGCATACTGGAAGAGCCCAAAACACGGCCAATATGAGCCCTAGTGTTTGGCTACAGCGAAGGGATCATTCCAGCTATTAGTGACCTGCGAGCTTAGTGCAAAAATGCTTGATCGCACCGGCAAGCCTGGTGCATTCCAGCATGGGTTCTGTTTTTACAAATGCTCCTGTAATTCTTGCGAAAATTACCTTTTTTTGGCAGCACGCGCTGCCGCACGGCGAGATATTTGGTCCGAAGCAGCTTTCGAAACCTAATCCTTTCTAACTTATTTTGTCATATTCATGTCCCGAGTAATTTTATCATTTCAGAAGTGGGAGAGCTACAATTTCAGAGAGTTCATTTTACTGTGTGATGAGACACCATAAATTAAAAGTAGATTTTAATCTTCCGCATGTCTTGAATTGCGAAACCATGTTCAGCTGCACGGTTGGTGACTATAGCTCTAGAACGAAGCATGCCACTGGTTTTGACGATTTGTGTGGGATGAATAGATAAAAGCGCTGTGCGCCAGCTGCTGACTTTTTGGCGTATTTACTGCTGTAACCGTGCAAAATCTTATCGCTTCTTTTCTTATTATATTATTTACAGATTTTTGATTTTGCTTTGACAGAGGATGAAATGGAAGAATTGATTGAAGCCGGTAAAAAACACCATCAGCGCTTCTTCATGCAAGATTTGTAAGTTTTTTTTAGATCAATTACGTGTGATTACATTGTCTAGAACAAGTCACAGTATCCAGGATAGGAGCCTTCTATTATTTGGGAATGTACGGCAAATTTTATTTCATGCACTATCTTCATCGGCACTTATTTTTATCCTTTAATCTTATGGGCTCCATTAACATAGTAACTAAGTATACAGTATCATTTTCATTCAAAGGCTGCACACCAGGAAAGCGGGAGCCAAAAGAGCCATCCCTACTCCAACTTTTCCACATTTTACGGTGATAGCACTGGCTTACAGAGCGCAGTCACTAGTAAAAACATTAAAGCAAGCATGCACTGTACTGAAATTATGTGGAGTGCATTTTCATTATCATACGGGCAATCTTACGCTTCGTCAGAAGTGTGATATGCAAGCCGCTGTTGCGGCTACGCATGAAGTCCTAAGTGGTCAAAAATAATGCAGAACGTCGCGTATCGGTGCATGATACCTGTGATGCGAAATTGTCCGCTTCAGCGTCCTGTTATGGAGTGCTGAAATGTACTCTGCGTGGGAGCAAGTTTTAGCTGGAGAAATGCTGATCAAGACGTTATGAGCTGGAGCTTACTGCAGCTCTTGCTTATTAATGCAATTAAAAACGATTCTTCTGCCTTACCAAGGCTGCCAATGTCGCCGGACTGTCCCAGCAATCTTACATTTTTTGATTTCAGACATTCAAAGCTATTAACGTTCTATATTTGAAGTCATAAACAATGTGTAAGAAGCGCTAAAACTACTCATTGCACCAAAAAACCAGTGTCTGCGCTGTTTCTCATTTCTCTTTTCGGCTAGTTATTTGGCTGTCGTCTTCAAAGCTTAATGAGTTCGTTAGTAATGAACGCTTCCGACTGTTACAGCTTGGCTGGCCATCCGGAAGACCCATTCAAAGCGGAACGAAAGTGAAATTATATCACACTGGCAAAATTATACAGTTATCTGCAAACCATATCAATTTATCCCATCCTATTATATCATCGATGCATCCAATTTTCGATCAGAGGAAGCGCACTCTAATTTTGGCATTTGCGGCCAAAACATTATTCCGCGCCATTTCTAATTTATCCTTACTTTGAATACTGCACATTTTTTCATTTCAGTGTTTAATTTTAAGCTTTTGAAAAGTGCTCATACACCTTCAAACCCAGTCTACTATTTGTTTGGCATTAACACATTTCTTGGCCAGTTCTTCGCACCCTTTCAATGAAAGTTTGCGCGTTTTTGATTATTATATGCTCCTCTGGTGAAACTTTTCTTGTCTTTGGATAACTTCTGTACCTCTGCAATTAAACTCTGCTCTTTTTGCCTCAATTTTCTGCGACTTTCCGACTCACGCAGGCGATTTTGGTCCGCGTGGAGTGCGTTAGAACTGTTCGGATTCTTGTCACTACCGTTCTTTTCCCTTCTTCCGCTGTACTACCTCCCTTTTACAGCGGCGCACAAATTTGCCATTCAGCCCATCATACGTATTTTATTTTTGTGGCTTGTCGCACGCTTAATCAAGCTCTTTGATTTATTTTGGCCAATCGATTGCCTTTTTCCTGCACAAGTGGTCAGTTTGTACGGATAAGAGCTAGACTTCATTGCTGGTATGTGTGGTGAAAGTTATTGTAAAAACGCTTTAAAACTTTGAGCGATTTTACCCATACACGATAGTGATAAAATGCAAAATAGTCCAATGATGACACTAGCAACTGACTAAGCGCATGCGTAATATATAAAACAAGCGTACTCAACTGCCGCGAAAAGAAAAAGCGCAGATACACATTTCCGTTTTTCTTCTGCTCACTTATATCTAACGTTTTTGGCAACGCATCAATCGACTTTTGCATATTTTGTCATTTTTTACGGCTCTTCGGCAAAATTCCACGCCATTTCGCTAAATTTCGTGCCCTGAGAGCCAAACTTTTAAGAATTTTTTTTTTTCGTGGGTAGACAATTCTGTTTCTTTTCCTTCCATCCCTGAATGTGCTGATTTCACTGTTGACAAAAAATGTAAAACTGCATATCGATCGAATTCTGCACTGCAAATCGATCGAATTCAAATTTCGATACAAAGCCCAATAGATGAGACCTTGGCTTTCCAAACAAAAAAGCGCGAAATTTGCAGAGCAAAAATTAAGCACAACAAAAATTTAGTGACAGCAAGCACAGACAAGTAGGATACCGTTCTAATCGCTTGGGTGTGAAGTCTGCGCTGTTATTATAGTGCATATCGCAGCTTTATAATGCACTTTTGAGTTCCACAAATATAAATCTTCAAATATTCAGACCCACGGTTGAAAGTCCTCTCTTTTTCGGGATTTATACAGCTTCTTTGTGTCTAAAGCTAATTTCTACACGTAAAAGCATCTCTTCAAAACCCCTACAACTGTGCGTGCACTACCACAGAGCTTGTTCCATTCTTTATGCTCGGACACTCTTTTGCAAAACATCATCGTAGTCCGAGCAAAGTAATCAGACCTGCAAAGTTGCGGACAGCCCTCATTTCTTGAAGAACAATTTTTGAGCAGTTAGAGGCGAAAGCATGCTTGGGCATCCCTATGCCAACTTACCACTGAAGTAAATCAGTGAGCTGCAGAGAGATTAGTTTTCTAGCCCCAGCTGCGGAATAGAGCTTAAATTTTCAGGCAGGGATGAATAACGCCGTAGAAATTAGTGCGCTTTCTCGTTAACTATACTGAAATGTGAAAAACTCCGAAGTGAAACTTGAAAGTTTGTGAAACTCAAAAGTGCATTTATAGAAATGCAATAAGCACTGAAAAGACATCATAGGCTCCCTGGTTATTTTATGAGGCAGTTCAGCAATAGTACGATTTCAACTGCTGTCTCTAGTTAATACTGCTTCAAAATAAAATTTTGGCATCAAATTTCAGCACAAGACATGTTAATTTGTCTGCGAGGAAGGAATCTGTTAACTTACTCGCTGCGTGAAAAAGCAACACTTTAGCAGTATTTGCAATGCTAAATAATAGAGAATTAATTATAAACGCTTAAACTCCCTTTACTTCTTTCTGATCTGACTGCTTCGGATTCTCCGTACGAACGGGGAGTGCCGAAGGGGTCGCGATCAGAAAGAAGCTGCTGCAGGGCATAGATGCAGCTTAGTTAGAAGAGAGAAAAGAAAATCAAGGAATGTGACCAAAGCAAAAAGGATTTCGAGGAAATTTTGGTATCCAAAACTTGTTTGTTCACTTTCTCGCGCCTCATTAGCTTCGGTTGGATTTTTCAAATCTGTAACGGATTTTTAAAATTGCGACTTTTTTCGCTTTACTCTTGTTCAACCAGACTGATTTATAGTCCAAGCACGGAACGTTCTCACTTGTTCGCCTGAGTTCTTTCTGGATCCTACTCAAGCCAGTGAGTAAACCTTCATTTGCGAAATTTCTTAAATTGCACTATTTTAAAAGCAAATTATTCAGCATTATAGCTGTGTTAGGCAACAGAGATCGAAGATAGCTTTCAAAATTTTTCATAGAAAGGCATGTTCGGCATGTTTTTGAAAGCGCAAATTGCACAACAATTTCCCGCTTACAAATTGTCACCTAAATAACGAAAATAATTCACACAGCTAACATAAAGCACGGCAATTAAGCATATTAAAAAGTGGTAAAATTTTTGTGCAAAAAAACAGTGTTTTTCATATTTCAGTGAAAAAGCATCTGCATTACTCTTTCGTGTCGGCTAATAAACTGGAAAATAACTGATAAAACGTCAGCAAACTGAAAGAAAATTTATTGCCAGCCCTAATTTTATAAGGAATGAGCAGCTTGCTTTAAAAATTCTAAATACCTTCTCAATATCACACACACAAAAACAGGAAGCTCGAGTTTTAAAATTATCTAGTTTTTTCAGTGACCAGAATTCCTGCTTTCCCAGGACAAAATTGCTGAATTGAAGAGAAAGATCATTTCGACCCAGTTGCCACATGGCACTGGTGACAATGTTGGTGTATCTTGAAAACAACAATTGAGATTTTAATTTTAAAAGGAAAAATATAGGAAAACGAGATCAGTAATCAAAAATTCAGCAAAGACCCATGGATTTCAAATTTTTGGCGATGATCATATCAAGGCAGGCATCCAGCACAAACTGCACATTATTCGTATCAGTTGCACAAGTATGATGACAATAAATTTCTCGCTGTGGAGATCTGAAAACATCGAAATCGATGAGTTATCAAGAATAAGGTGAATGATCTGAAGTCATCTGCGACACTGAAACTTTGTTAGGATCATTGGAAGCGAAGGCGACTTGTTACTGTACTCATGATGCGGTTCTCAGTTCAAAGTCGACAAGTAAGCCAGTCTGCATCGCGCTTCATTAAAATAGGAGTTACTGCAATATGCTTCCGTGTTAAGAATTAACGGTCGCATTCTTCGCTGACCTCAGTGGAGCATTAAGAATTACCGAGATTTATCCACATTTTGTTTTAAAAAGCGAAAGATTTGTAATGAATAAGGATATTTTTCAGCTTTTCCGCCAAGAAATTTGCATATTTTTTAAGGTGTCTGTACGCGAATGATTCTATATGCGTTTTGCGTTTGCATATATGCAAAAACACATAAAAACGAAAAACAAGCATAACCATCTATGTGAAAAAAAATTCCGAACGCATCGCTGCTTAAAAATTTCAGTATCATTCTGGAGAAAATTTTAATTTCATTTTGCAAGTGAAAATGAACCTGTTAAGCTGTTCAAACTTCCACTGAATGTAATTAATGCATTCCGTTTGATTTTGTTGTCCTGAAAATTGCTGTCAGTGATAAGGATCGCCAAGCAAGAGAAATGCATCTCGAAGATAACCGACTGAAGTAAAATATAGTAGGAAAATTAGGTCACAATATTGAGAAGAAAAACAAACCTTTATATTCTGGAAAGCATATGGTTAACGGAGACCGATTAATTTTTTCAGCAAACAGGTCTTTTTTATTCAAAAATAAGATGAAATGAATGTCGGCAAACCACGGGCTATTACATATGGAATCGAAAAGTTTCAAAGATTCTTGCATTCGATTCTGGAAAAAATCGTGATAAGCAGTACTGTAGTAATATGAATTCATCATGCCTGATAATTGAACAAGAATTAAATTCGATTAAACAGACTACCAGATCCGATTACCAAGCCGTTTTTCGAAAAACGTTCTTGCTTCTTACACAGGCTGTCGGCTTAAATAAGAGAAAGCAAAACACAAAACAGGAAGAACACCGTCTTACATTTATCAAAGTGAATGCATCTTGAAGTACTGGAGGCAAAACGGCGATTTGTGTTCTATTGTAAGTACTGTTACTTTTGAACTAATCGAATGACTGCTGTTGTTCGATGGAACCGAATGAATGTAAGTAACAACAGTTATGAGCGTTCCGACCCACCAAATGTATAGTTTACGAAATATTATCAGTTCTTTATTAACAGTGATTTTCAATAATACAGGACGGGAATAGATTACACTGTATTACAATCAGAAGCGCAGCCGGGATCCTTTCAAGACGAACACCACAGAAAAGTTCTGGAACACCAGTCACTCAGCAGTTTTTGAAAAAGCATATCACTTATTTTTCAAAGAAGAAGCAGAAATTTTACATGCTGTTCGCAGAATAAGTAAGAAATAAAGATTCTTTAATCCTCATCCCTTCACCCGCTCCCTCATCTGCTTACCACTTCCTAAAATCCATGAGGCTAAGAATTTCTTGGTCCGAGCTGCCGAACTTCGACAATTTTCCGAATTTGATTTTTCGCCAACTTTTATTACCAACTCTTCTTTTCATACGATTTAGCTTAGACCTCTGTACAACATTAATTAAAGAGGTAATTTAAGAGGAAAAATGAAAGAAATTAATACTGTTTGTGGCTACAATTTACCCGTACATTCATAGTAGCAGGCACCTCAGTAGCTTCTTTCATTCCCAAAATGCTCATGCACGTGCAATCTTGCGGTCTCACATAGCAATTTCACACTTCCGTGAAGCAATTCAGCAATTCCACACTATGACTATCTTTCATTAAAGTTCCAGAACTGCACATTAAGCAACCCCAGTAAGAAGTCCACGAAGGTGCCGTCGCTTCGCATCTTTGGTGCTGCTGCCATCACTTTGTAAGTATATATCACCTCAGCTGCTTCCCAAATGTTAATTTAGTCCAGTGGGCTGTTGCTTGATACCACTATGAATGTCACTGGTATCGTTCTTATGAACAGCACTGACAGAGCACGGAAGAAATCAGGACATCGAATTTTACGGTTCAGAAGCTCATAAGAACTAAAGAGAGTGGGAGGAAAAAGAACTCTCTAACAAAATTTGTTTCTAATAAAATTTGTCAGTTTGTACTTTTAAAGTTTTACTGTTAGTGGCCTCATCATCAAAATGCCCGAAAAAGCGAACAAGTGATCTAGGAAAATGAATTGTCAGCGTCCAGAATGTAACCTGTCAGATGCAGCTCTGCTGGTCTTTAGCAGAAAGTGAACTTCCTTTACTAATAAAACTAGCCTAAAAGCCTTCAATTTAAATGCTGAGACTACGCTTCAAATCTTTCCGGTCACTACTACTGGGTAACAGACTACATCAGAAACGGAACTAAAACTGTGGGCTGAAAGAAATCGACCGTCCAGTAAGAATTATTTTAAGCTGCAGTTTTTATACAGTTATTTTTGGGAATAACTGTATAAAAACTGCAGCTTAAAATAATTCTTTCGATGATAATCCTCACACTTTCGATGATAATCCTCAAAGGCGCAGCTGGAAATAATTTTAAGAGAAGGAATTCAGAAAAAAAAATCTTCGCTAAGAATGTCAGGTTTTTAGGAAGGGAAGTTAGCAAACAGCTCTTTAAATAAGTGTTTGCCCTTATTTCTTAACCAAGTTGTGTCAGCCATGAAAAAAAAACTAGTTTTTTCAAAGATCATTAATTTGCCATGAAAAAAAAAAGTGACGAAAACAACAAGAGTATGTAAAGCGCAAGTCATTTCAATTTACCTAAACACGTAGGAACGGAAACGATTTAGAAAACAAAACTATCTATATAGATTATAATTCCTTGCGGGTTACCAGTGAATGGTCACTGATCAGTAGTTCCAATTTACACAGAGATCGTGTTCATGACACGACAGATCATTTCGAGGAATCCAGCTGTAAGTTTCTTGGATTTTTTTTTTTTTCAATTTTCCCTAAAATCAAAGTGTTTCTTGAAAAAAAATCGAAAAGAGAACTTTCTGGACTGAAAAAGCGGTTTGCCACGATCGACCACATTCTCGCTGTACCTATGCAGTTGGGAGAAGAACAGTGAGAAGACAAAATTTGCTGAATTTTTTTAATTCCTTAAAATAAAAAAAAGCCTTTGTCTCAGAGAGATCAATCTACACCGCAGACTCATACAAAATGAACGGTCCATTCGCTTTAACTCAAATTAGGTGAAGGCTTTTCGTCTCGTTAAGACACAGAATCACTCGCTTCTGAAAACTCGAAAAAATTAGAGTTGGGTGGGCGTGATGGAAAACGACATAAGCTGTTCGGATTCTTTGTCAGCACAGAGAAAAACACTGCGCAAATTACCGAAATGAGAAAATTTCACACTGCCAATGAAGTAATTCAAATGCTTTTTTCCGCAAAAAACATTGTACTTATCGTTGGAAATCTGCAATCTTTGACCAATTTGTCGACTGAACTCGCGACATACATGCAAAAAATGACCCTAAATCGGTGAGAAATGAAATCAGAAGGATGAGGAGGCATTGCCTCCAACTGCTTGTGAAGCTCCAGAACAGTCTGAAAAGCTCGTGGACGATAAACATACCTAGAAAGTACTAACAATCTGAGAGAACACTCCGAGTGCGAAGCTATGTATAATGAACATATAAGAGGGCTGTCTTCAGAAAGTTACACGACTTCTTTTACAACTGTATCATTACAGTGACAGTTGAAACAACACTTTTCACCTTCATTGTGTTTCTAGCTCGTTTGTATCGATGCAAAACATGAGCTGCTATGACTGCTGATAGCAGAAAGTGGCAGTAGACCAGAGCACCAAAGCAACAACGCACGCTGGGCGCAGCCAGTTTGCCGCGCAATTGCAGTAAAGAAACTGCGACTTCAGTTCAGCATGATGAACGTCATTAAGGCGGTGTACAGTAGAAACAGCACTGGCTAAGTTATTTGACGAGATTATGAGCCAGAATGTGAAAACAGAATTGTTCACTCTGGTTAACTGTGGGGGCGCACCAATGACGAGCAAAGAGTATCAATATTTATAAAAATATTACTGGAAACATGCTTATTATATAAAATACCTAATGGCCCCTTACTGCTAGTTGGTGGGATTTCAAGTTCCGATCAGCAACATCCGTCGACATAAAATTCGACAAAAGTATTGATAGAATTATGCCTGCTGGCGATAAGAATGAAGGGAAAGAATATAAAAAATTCAGTAGTAAGGCTTGGGATTTAAAGCTTAGCAATTTTAGAAAAATGATGGTAAATGTTCCAGAAACAGGTGGCACGATCGATGTCATTATTTGTAGATGGTTGGCCTGGATGCAACAGCAAATGAGCAAATATAAAGTCTGATCGTTGTGCATACTTTTGGAATACTTGAATCAGTTATAATTTAGAGCCTAGTGCTCCGACTCTGTACCTGGCAACTCTCTAGTTGCTTTACACAGTGTTGCATCATCCAATGGTTAATCTACTGGCAATTCGTTTTCTCTCCTGAAGGGATTCCCAGCACAACCTTCTTTCCACAAGCACTTGGAACGGTTTCAGTGGTTGGTTTACACTAAGTGTTATCTTGCTGCCACTCCTCAACTAAGATGAGGTGCCTTACAATACAAACTGTAGAAATTAAATGACGCAGTCGAACGGCGAAATTGATAAAATTTGAATGCTTGCAACCCCAGAACCTGAACTGCTACGTTATAGTGTGAAGTAATTTTACAGTGACAAGTAATACCGTGCAGTTATCCTCGCGTAATGTTTGATCATACTCTGAAAGCGATGATATAAAAATAATTGCATTCACATTATCAAAACAGTGAATCCATTTCTTTCGCTCTGAACGCTGCCCACCAACATCGATTACTCTGTAAAATCACCAATAAGGTAATGCAAAACCAAATTTCTGCCGTTAGTCCAGAACAGTGCGTTCAAGCAAAAGCGATATGATGCCTTTTTTTCTGGATGGGTACGCCAGAAATTTGTTTTTATAAAAAAGTGATAATGCTTTTAGTATTATTTATTATGCTTTGAATATTATTATGCTTTTATTAATTTATTCTTCGAAGAAATTAACTCTGATCCTGACTAATGATACATGCAAAAAATTCTCCAGGTAATTTTCTACATTTTTGTCTAAAGATAAGAAGCAGTTTTAAACTTGACTTTTCAAAAGTCGTATTTGTACTTGGATTCGGATTTTTACCATCAAATCCTGTTATTCTAAGCTAACCTCTCTGTTTTTTACTACATATTTAGAATGTGTGTAAAAACGCAGTGTGATGAGGCCAAGTCTCTGCATTTTTCTGACTGCATGATTCATTGCCAGAACTACAGATGAAAAACTTCGAGGACAAAATCCCAGTCTTAGTAAAAGTCCATAAATCTATAATGTATAGTCAATTTTGGTCTGCACAGGTGGCAACAATCATTGGGTCGCCCCTGACCTGACCTATTGGTCCGGGCCAAGATTCAGCCTAAATATATAAGTCCAAAAAAAAAAGCTGCAGATCCGAAATTTCAAAGGTATATTTTAGCAGGCAATGCAGGTTAAACAATCTGAACCAACTTTAAAAGCTGAATGTATCCTATCCTGTAATCGCAGGCCCTAATTACGTTAAATGTATAGTTTGAATGTGCTAGAGACTCGAAATTTCAAGGCTTACTGTGTAAAACAGTAAAACTTGTCCGAAACCAGCTTTCAGTCTTTTGACTTTTTATGCGTTTTTGTTGTGCAGCGCTATAGCGCTACAGCGCTGCTACAGCCAGCAAAAACGCATATTGCCGAGAGGCTGTGTGTGTGTGTGTCTGTGCGCGCAAAGCGGGTGCATTTTGTCATCCACTTTCAACTCGGCAACCAGGA